AGCTTTACTCATCTGTTGGAGGGAAACCCCCAGCCGTGCTACTATAGTCTCAGACTCACACAGCACGTTAAAAGGAATAATAATAATAATAGTAATATAACGAGTTCACTTCCAAGTGAACAACCCGATAGTCTTCTTCTTATCATAGCATACAAACCAGCGAACACCCAGCCAAGTTTAGTTGGCCAGTTTGAGTATTCGTTACAATTATTACCCTTTAATATATTTATTTAAACGAGTAATATTTACTCTACCTATACGGTTATAATAGATTATAAAGATATTTACCTAAGTAAGGTAATATCCCTAATATATTTATCCCTAATTAAAAGTAATATAAAACCTTACTTCTAGTTCTACTTCCCCCCTACCTTTTTACTTAAATTCTATACAAGTTGTTTTAAAATAAGAACTTAGTAAGGCCTAGTACAAAGTTAAGTTAGTATTGAGCTTGTCGGGCGTGTTATTAGTGTTGGTGTACTATTCGTTTGTTTTTCTCGCCTAATTAGGGGTTCAGTTGGTGGTTTGCAGATTCTCGGTAGTAATGTAGGGATCATTTTGGGAAAGGTGTTTTTGTGATGATATCTTATGGAGAGATGGTGAGGGGCTATTTGGATAGGTGCGTTTGATGTATGGCAACCGGGAGTTGGAGAGACCGGACGTTAACTGCATAGGAGAGTGGTAGGTGATAGTGGGGACTTTGGTATTTAGGTACCGGGGTAAATTGGGAGTAATTCCTGGAGTTCAATGATTTCGTCCTATCTGGAAACATTCCAAAACACCTTTCAATATGCAACGGAATAGTTAATCGGTCATTCTCTGGCATTTCAGGGAAGGAATCTAGATGCCGAGCGTTATACTTGGGTTCTATGAGTTTGGAGTAGGGTTGGGCTATCTAATTTTAGATAATGTAATTATAATTGATTTTTCTCTAAATTATAATAATTAAAGATTTAGGTTCTAATATTAGATCTTGGCAATGAATATCGGGTATATAAAGTAGTAAATAAGGGGTATAGGGGTAGACTAATTTCACTAAAAAAGACTATCAAAAACATATATAAAAGAGTACTTAATTCAAAGAATTAACTCTAATCTTCCTCGTCCTTACTTGAGTTATTAATCTTAATATTACTATTATCTTTGTCCTTATTATCTCCTTCCTCTATTTATATAAGCGCTCTTTTGTCACGGGTCGAATGTCGCGATTCGGTTATTCTTCCTCGTGACCGCGGGACAAGTGGCTGCCTAAGCGAGCATGCATGTCCCACGCTTCAAGCAAACAAACAATGAAGGAAAACTCTTCGAGCAAACATGCCAACACACAACTCCCTCAGAAAATTCTTTAAGCAAACATGACAACACATCAAATCCCTCATCGTGGCGTGATAAGGGATGTGGGAGACGCGGGGGATAAGGAGCTGTTGGGTGTGTGGTGTTTCTGGCATAAGAACCTCGGGTTTTTTCCTCAGATAGCTCTTCTCTCCTTAGCCTTAGATTCTAAGTAGTGGAATAGCAGTATCCTTCACCGTTCCGTTACATCTTTCAAGTTCGACGAGCTTCTCTTTAGAGACCTTAGAGAAGTTAAGGAACGCTAAGTTATTATCTAATACGCGCTAGCTTACATAGATAAATATTAGTTTATAAACCTATTCTACCTTAAGGCGGTTACGTAAAGTACTTGTAATTAATCCTATATAACTAAAAGCGCACTTAGAGGGCACTGAATTAGTAGGTGTTTCAAAGATTAAACCTATAATTCGTAGCCGGGCTATTTAGATTTTCCGCCCCGAGGTCACATGATGCATGTAATTTATAGATAATTTATTATCAGATAATCGGCCTAATTAGTAATTATAGATAATTTATTTAAATTAGATATAATTGAACAACCCTAGTGGAGGGGAGTTGAGGGGGGCGGGGAACTTGATATGAATATAAGTTTTAATTTGTTTTCGGCTTTCTGGTTTGGGCTTTAGAATCTGGTTATTTAGGTGGAATTTAGAAGCAGTGGCTTTAATAGGACCTCGGTGTTTATTTGGAACACGTCCTTTCTATCTAACGTTATTACCTTAACTATTACGGGATCCTAATCATATACTTAGGTCGGTATCGACTAAATCGGAAATCGTAAATCGCAAAAGCTATATATTTACTATTACTACTATTCTGTATGCCTGTATGTCTATACCCCCACACCCCCACTCTTAGCCTTACGTGCCTAGGCATTTTCACGTGTATTTCAACCACCCCCGGGCCTCACTGTCGCCCACCCTCACTGTCGTATAAGGGTTGTGCCCTAGTATGTTGTTTAGAACAGAGAGAGAGGGGGGGTAGCGGAGGGGCATAGACGCCGGGAAATACTTTAGTTGTATATATCGCTTATTCCTACCCCTCTGCTGAATACTACCTTCCTAAAGAGGTTAGGCTAGCACATGTCGCGCCAACAATTGTTTGCTACTCGTTTGTGCTTTCTCTTCTCTTTCTTTACGACAATAATAGCGACAATGATAGCGAGAGGGGATATAGGGGTACTCTACTAAACGAGATCTTAGACGAACTTCTACAAGTATTAGAATATAGAAACGAGTTACCTAGCTAAGATTAGAGATTTAAGGTAGATGGAAAACCAGCCGCCTATAAGTTGATCGTAGAGAGAAGCTGGGCCGTTGAACTGAATGGGGTAGATACGGCGATATAGCTTCCGGGGAATATGGTGCTGTTGGTTGAGAGTGATGGCAAGAAAAGAGAATCAAGAGAGACAAGGCAGACAGGAAGTCGAAGACCAGGGGGCTAGTTGTGGAAAAAGCTGTTCGCACAAACTCAATGAGACTGTAACATTGCAGATGTGGTGTGAAGGGTCAGGTTTGTCTGATTCAATGAGAGTGTAGGCATTAGGACAGAACAGAATCCAAGACTTCGAGGAAGACGAAGGATATAGCATCAAAAAAACTCAATGATGAGAAAATTTTCGGCTCTGAGTTTACAGTGGAGTTAACCTAATTAGACGACACCCTGGCCGACAACATAGAACCGAGGATTTAGACCAATGCGAGTGCAATTATAATATAAAGTATGAGAATGCTTCATTATTTTAAAGCACTGGAATGGAACAAATGATGTTGGAATATCTGACAGGGTAGGCCGCCGCTTATTTTCCATAAATGTGGTATGTTGGGGTAAAATGTAATTGCAAGGCATATTTGCATGATACACGATGCGTGCACCTTCTACTGTATTGCAAACCAATTTGACGGTCCACTAGTCGTTTCATTGTACTTCATGATACTGTGTTTCACAATGATTTGTATTCGATATATCTTGGAGACATGCCATGTGACTGAAATCTGACTACCAATCACAACGAGTGATGCAAATGAAACTACAAGTCAGATTGTAGGAGAAGCACGAGGTCGAATAATCCGTCATGTCTTTTGAGGGGAGAGTTGATCCAGTGAGTTGCTCTCCAAAGATTTAATGGGATGCTAGGTTCATGTCAGCCATCACGAGTCGCTATTGAAATACCTAGAGTCTAGATATATAACCTTTACCAATGTGTCCAATAAGCAACTGGGCGCCCGGAAACCTATCCAGGACCCCCGAGGAGCAAATTGCATAGACATGCCAACCTAGATCCAAGTGAAACTGTACCCCCGCACCAAGCAGATGTTTCCTCTCCCCATACTTAGTCCCAGGCAACAAGTCACTTTTGACCATGTATTCAGGGTGCAAATAAACTGGAACATCCAAGTTCTGCACTTCGGCCCAGAAGGGATCAAATTGTTCGGTATCAAAATATAGTTTCCCTTGTCCATCGTCCCCAACACTTTGAAAATCATTTGAAATCGCACCGAAACATCCCAACTCCTTGATCGCTCTTCGGAGTTCCGCCGCTGCTGATATTCCGTTGTGCATGGGGATCGACGCCAAAGCCCTGAAGCGAGAAGAGCTTTTTTTCACTCCATTGGACAGATAGTCATTCGCGACTTGGGCAAGTTCCAAAGCTTTGTGTGGGACTGCTTTGCCTTGAGGGCCGGGGGAAGATTAGTCAGATTAACATGTATTCTACACCCTCTCGGTCCATAACCTCGATACGCCTTTTGTGGATATCGAGAAGACGAGCGGAATGGACGTCCGGTGGACCTTTAAAGCTCGCCGGTGCAGAAGTCAAGGGAGAAAGTACGGTAGTCATTGTTTTAGGCCATTCCAGAAAGGTCGGGTCAATAATGGATTCTTTGATTAATATGGTCGCTCTGGGTATTTTAGCGGGTAGTGGAATGATATGAGAGGTTTTTGAATATATTCAAGTCCACCTTTGTTCGGATAACGAGGTAATGAATGCATCCGCATCGTGGGGTTGAAAGTTCCACATGGGTCTTGGTTTACCCATAAACCCTTTTGTAAAACCATGGTACCAGCATAAAAGCGATACCGAAATGAATGCCGAGATTCATATCAGAATGGTCCAGTAGGGAACGGGTAAATTGACGCTCCGGGGTATGGTAAATGACACTTTCCCCCTCGCCTAAAATTAAGAATTAATTTGGTGATCCCCATTCACGGGGTATTTCGTTACTAAGCTAGGGCTTGTTACCAACGCATGTACTTTTACCTAGACTTCCTGGCTTGAAGCTAACCCTACTTATCATATACTCACTCATTACACAACAAGCATGGGACCGTCTGGATCTCCTGGCACTCAGTTAGACTCTTCTCTGCTTCTTCTACCTGTAAACAATTCAAGTATAACCACAGCGCTCTATAGTAAATTTAGTTAATCTTGCAAGAAACAGGCGTACAGTACTACGGGGAGGCAACTGTCTATGAAATCACATAGCTCACGTAAAAAGGGACTCTCTGACTTTTTTTTCTCAATACGCTTTTAAATATAACAAAGAAGTTCTATTCATTAAATACAGGGGGTTACCGTGCTGTCTGTAGCGTGGTGTCGAGAGTAATATAAGGTAGGTGCGAATGACGACGCACAAAAGGCTCGGACCATCTATTAAGCGAGGGGGGTTCGGTTCAATTTACCTGGTGTCAGTCTCGTATGCATAATTCTGAAGATTTCAATGCGATATTTGAATACTGATCTCCTGGGTTCTGTTTATCCTTTCATTGGTGCAGTGTAACGTCGGCAAACGGACCTCCTGCTCTCAATCTACTTGATATCAATTCAGCCGAAACCCCTATACAGTAACAAGTTAAGTCAACACACAACACTCATTAGGTGGAGAAATTTCATGCTTGAATTTTGCAAATTCTATTTTTTCAAATATCCATCATTGATAAGAAGGCAAGAAAAACAGAAAATGGCGAGCGAACCGACTACTGGGACAGAGATTGAGACACGTCTGTTCATCAATGGAGAGGTGAGTTTGCCAGACGAATAATATGAAATCACGTGACGGTGAATGACGAACAAACAGCATGTCCCCGCTTCAAATGGAGAAACATTTGACTTGATTTCGTCCAAGACAGGAGAAGTACTAGCCAAAGGCAAGAAAAACCTTTCACCAAGCTTCGTTCTCAGGCTCACTCCAAAATCACAGTGTCCGAAGCTTCCGAGGAAGACACAAATCGGGCAGTTGCGGCAGCCAAAACAGCTCAGCCTGCATGGTCAGCGCTAACGGTTCAGCAACGAGGGAGTTGCTTGAGAAAACTTGCAACGCTGATTCGACAACATGATCGAGAATTTGCATTTTTGGAAGCTCAATCCATGGGCCACCCAGTATCGTCCTACTTTCATGCTGAGGCTGCTGCGGTTCTTTTTGAGCATTACGCTGAAGCTGGATATGATATTCAAGGCACTTCTAGTTTAGCTACCCCTGGATTTGTGAATTTGACTTTCAGACAACCGTACGGTGTTGTTGCTGCAATTATTCCATGGAATGTTCCAGTACTCTCCTTTGCGAAGAAGGTTGCCCCAGCTCTCATCGTAGGGAATACTGTCGTTTTGAAGAGTAGTGAGAAAGCACCTTTGACGGTAAGCACATATGAATCTAATTTCGTTACGACGGTAGTGGTGAGAGCAAGATACTAACATCGCTTTTGAGAAATAGTCTGCCAGGCTTGCCTCTTTGATAAAGGATGCAGGATTTCCGAAGGGGGTGTTTAATGTATTGAGTGGTGGTCCCCTTTCAGGGTCTGTTCTCAGTCATCATATGGATGTGCGAGCATTATCCTTTACGGGATCAACAAGAACGGGGAGACTGATCCAACAAGCTGCCTCAAAATCTAATCTCAAAGTGGTCTCCCTTGAGTTGGGAGGCAAGACACCAGCCATTGTCTTCGACGACGCTTGTTTAGAATTGGCAGCACAAGCCACACAATATTCAATTCAAACGAATAGTGGACAAACATGTATGGGTAATTCCAGAGTCTACGTTCAGGATACAGTTGCAGAACGCTTCATCGACTTATTTAAGTCAAAGTTTTCAACGGCCAAAATTGGGGATCCAACTGATTATGAGACCAATCATGGACCTATTGTGGATAAAATCCAGTACGATAAAGTCATCGAATATCTCGAAATTGGAAAGAAAGAAGGCACTGTCATTCTTGGGAACGAATCTTACTCGAGTGAGGATGGATATTTCATCAAGCCCACCATCATTCTGGACACCCCTGAAGATTCTCGAATCATGAAAGAGGAAGTTTTTGGGCCTGTAGTCAACATAAATATATTCAAAACAGAGGAAGAGGCATTGAAGAAGGCGAATGATTCTGAGTATGGCCTCTACGCATCAGTATTTACTCAGAATATTGAACGCGCCATGCGGATTGCGAAAGGGCTGGAGGCTGGGACGGTGGCCGTCAATTGTTCCAGTCCTACGACTGGTGCAGATACACCTTTTGGAGGATATAAAGGGTCTGGCATCGGCAGAGAGGGTATGCCATATCATAGTTTGGACTTCTTTCTTGAGACGAAAGCAGTTCTCGTGAAGATCGGATGAGGGGGCAGTGGAGTGTCTTCTGCTCATCGGATTGGTTCCTATTGATCTCTTGTTATTGAGCTCGCCCAATTAGCTTAATATTGATTGTTTCCCCTGCACGAGCCCATAAATTCAAATAAGCTGTAAATATTATTATTGGCCCCACGTATTCCACTGTGTTAGCCGAGGAAGCTGACAAGGGATACATTGTATGGACTAATGTACAACATAAGCACGTAAGAACGTTAAGGCAGGTAAGAAATAAGTGTATGACAAAAGCACAACCTCGTAAATGACTTCAATTAGGCCAGGACTTCCAATAAAGTTATACAGTATAAGTACGTAAGACGGCAGTAGGAACCAAGCGTATTTCCATAGTCAGCAGAGGAGCCTACCGTCAAAAATGGGGCTGGACTGTCATAGAGTGGCTACCGGTAGAGTATTTTCCTTGCTATCAGGTCTTACTTGTTGGAGTTGATGCTGTTTACCGTGACGCTCTTTGAGCCCTATCTAGGGTGCGCTAAGAGAAGTAAAAAACATAATATAGTATATTTCTCAGTCAGTCATCGTTCAGGGTGAAGGTTACTGTGACACTCTGTGGCTCAAAGAAAGAATATAACGTCCAATTGTAGATACGAAGTATATCCCCAATAGTGAACGAATACATAAATTCTTGGGTTTTGTATCACAGGCGCTATTGACAAGATTTATGGTTAGGAAAAGAATGGCCTAGAAATGAATTTGATCTCAATGAGGACCCATCACCTAATGTGGGGGTCTCTCTGTCACATGTACCGTACGACCCCCCTCCACAACCGTCAGCACTTGTGATATATTTCACATCTTCGTCATCTTTCTAGGATAGAGGAATGGGAGCGGTGTGATCTCGAATTTCACTATAAAGGTATTCGTGCCCACGGACTTTCACAAGAGACCGTATGCGGCGGACATTATTCAAACCGGCGTGATATTCATGCAGCGTATACTAATCATGATATCAACCCACTTTTGCAGCAATATAAAATGTAGCGGTGAAGACGTATCATTATAGGTGTAGTAACTACGAATGAAGATCTCGAAAAAGCCATCATATTACCGGTCTAGGGATGCATCTCTCTTGCTTATACGATCGGAGAAGTACAGTGTTCAGGCTAGAACAGAAATCAAACTAGGGTACTTGATTTCATGGGTAATATTGTCTTCTAGAGAAACCCTTCCAAATGAACGAAATGCTCAACCATTTCAAAATAGCTAAAATATTCTCGATCAAAGGACCGCCAAATAGCAGGTTCTGATCAAGGACCTCGACTCCTTACTACTACAAATATCAAATTTTAAGACGACCAAAAGTGAAACCTTTCTCATGGCGGCTAACCGTAACATCGTATTTCTACCTTTATACAAGACAAAAGTACGTAGAGAACACCGAGAACATAATTCAAGGAAATTTCCCATTGGCTAAGAGCACTCTTCTTCGGCAATTGAAGGTGTGACGAATTCGACTCCCGGTATTAGCGGCTCTGTCCCAACCGGATGTGGCTATTGTATTGTGCGAAATTTTTCTTTACGACTCCTTCAGTGCCATCAGCTGGTCTCAACCTTGCATGGATCTTGTAGGCTACTACATGCAGTGCATTGTTACCCAACATGCTCCTAGCCTCACGATTATCAACATCTCATGGAATCCGACACCAAACCTGTAGTTAGGCCGAATTCGCGTTGACGATTCTCAACGGTTCTCCCGAGATACGAAAAACAACAGGCTCCATTTTGTTCTCGATTACAGCTTTACGTAGTGATTCTTTCTTTGCCTATATATCCGAGATGTCGCAAACAGCAGCGCTACGATTCCCTTCAACTGTCTTTCCTACTAACAGATGACTTGTCAATCTCTAGCCATGATACTCCCCAAGGTTCTGGCTTTAGCATTCATTTGCCTAACAAGTTTCACTGCAGCCTCTCCTGTTGACAGTGAAGGAGAAAAATGGGGAAGTGATCTGGTCGTCAGACAAGAAAATTCAGAGACACAGGTCCGGAAAGAATGGTCAGTGACAAGTTACTTTCGGCACATACTTCAAGAACTAACAGGCTTCTTTAGGAGAAAGCTATCCGATGATGAAAAACTCGATTGGATTGACGCCGTCAAGTGTATGATGAGCAAACCAGCTCTAAACGGTGCTATTTACAGTGGTTCACGGAGCCGGTATGGTGATTTTATGGCATTACATATCCAAGCTGCGGATTATGTGCATTTCAATGTGAGCTCAAGTCGCCCTGATCAGATATCTGGTGCTAACCTCATTAATTAGGGTCCCTTTTTACCGTATGTGGGGTACCTTTGGAATACTTGTGATATAATCCTAACGCAATTTTGTAGATGGCATCGGCATCTTCTGATTCTTTGGGAGCAAGAACTAAGAAATACTTGTGGATACGCTGGTTCTCAACCATGGTGGGACTTTTCGCTGGAAAACACTGCAGAAACCTTCCCAAAGTCCCCCCTCTTTGACCCATTACATGGAGTTGGAGGTAAGATTCCCACACACAAAGTTTTAGGGGGGTTTGGTTAACTTTATCAGGTAATGGTCCTTGGGTTGAGAACGTTAGCTCCATCCCTGTTAGCAATCCTGCGGTTATTCTAGCTGATAGAACTGGTGGTGGTATGCAAGTCTTGTTTCCAAGCTCATGTTTTCTGTTTATTAACCGACAATAGGATGTTTGGACAACGGTCCGTTCGCTAATTTGACTGTGACCATGGGAATCGGTAAGCACTTGATAAATCTTCATTCCCAACGTTGTTGATTGAAACCAGGAAACAACCTCGATTACAACCCACACTGCCTTCGAAGAGATTTTTGCCCCGAACTCATTGCCAGCGCTCTAAGCGATGAAAGACTCGCGGCCGTTAGAAACGCCCCAACATTCAACGATTTTAACATTGCTATTCAAGGGAAGAGCTTAGCAGTACCAGACGCCGTCATACATCTTGGTTTACACATTGGCATCGGTGGTCAAGTAGGTGAGCTTGCCGATACTTGGTCTTCGCCTGGAGATCCTCTCTTCTACATTATCCACTCTACTCTAGATAAGTTGTGGAATGACTGGCAACGTGCGGATTGGGATACGAGAAAATCGGAAATATCTGGACCAGATGCTATGTGGGGTTATCCATTCGATTTCTTCGGTCCCATACCGTACAAAAATATCACTCTTGATTATTCGCTCAACTACACCAATTTTGGAAGTTCGGTTACGATCCGAAGCGTTATGGATATTGAGGCTTTGGGATATACCTATGACGATTAGCTTTATAATAAGGGAATTGAAGAGAGAAATGGAGATTCAGTCGATTGGTATTATTTTTTGTATTGGATAATCTTATTCGGTGGAATTCTCAAAGTAAACTCGGAATCTTGATAGAATAGAGTAGTTCATTTTGGAAGTCTCCGTGTTCTGCGGGATACGGGTACTTTACGGTGAACAGAAAAAGTGGCAATGCCATTCTGCGATCATTGATGCCATCACTCCAGCATATTAGAGGAAGTCAAACTCATTTTCTCAGACGTTGGCTTCATATTTTCTGGTTCTCAAACATTTCCCCCTGGAATTATTGCTTCGATCATTGGGCTGGGCTATTTACTACCACTTTTACTGAGTTGCTAAGATGGTACGAGTACCCATCCCTAATGAAAGAAACAGCATTAGGTGAGGCTCGGGATCATGTCGGCAGGGGGATCATGTCGGCAGCGGCAGCGGCATCGGCATCGGTTCAACGCGTTTACTTCCCGAGGTCCATCACATAAAATTCCAGTGCCAAGACTGCCACTTGAACCTGTGGCTCAGCATTCCCGTTGTTTACATACGGGGGTCCCGTAAACATCTGCACAGGCGATCGAAAGCAAACGCATCATCGAACAATACACGACATAACGGAGTCGGATCTTTGCTTTAGCATTTGCGATTGAGGCTCCTTCCTCCTAACCTTCATCTCACTCGAGTATTTGTTTCTGCTTAGATTTTCCTAGAAATAATTGCATACGAGCCAACGGGGTTTTTACGCGCGTTCGAGAGGAATCCCCTCGTTGAATGATCGGCCCCCCTTAACGCCTTCAAGATGTCCGCAGATGCAGGAGCTTCTTCGATATCGGTCACTGGTATGTGAACAGGTCTTCTATACTAACCGAGTTCAACGATCTAATGACTCACAGTTCGGGTTCGTCCCTTTACAATCCGTGAAGCAGCTCAAATGTACTCGGGTCCCGTATCCCGATTTTTCTACAACAGCTGACTGTTCATAGCACAAAATCAGATGGCGGACAGCTTTTTCTTGGAGATGGATCCCTCGCGGGTATTCCAACCCCAAAACTTGGGCAGAAGGGCATCAGACCAGTAATCAAGGTGCTGGACGACAAGTGTTTGTATGTAAAGCCCTTTCCGTTAGGAATCTGCCAATTGACTTTCCCAGAATATTCGACCCCCCAGAAGACAATCCAATCCAAAGATTTTCGAGATCGGTGGTTCCAAATATGGGCAAGAGGGTGAAGGATCAACAATTTGCGTTCGACCGAGTCTTCGACGAGAATACGACACAAGCAGAGGTATACGAAGCGACGACAAGAGGGTTGATGGATAGTGTTATGGAGGGATACAATGCGACAGTTTTTGCTTACGGCGCAACGGGTTGCGGAAAAACACATACAATTACTGGAACTGCTCAGCAGCCTGGGATTATTTTTCTCACGATGCAGGAATTATTCGAGAAGATTTCTGAACGATCCGACCTCAAACAGACCGAAGTTTCATTATCATACCTGGAAATTTATAACGAGACGATCCGTGATCTTCTAGTGCCGGGTGGAAGTAAACAAGGGTTGATGCTCCGCGAGGATGCCAATCAAACTGTATCTGTAGCTGGCTTGACAAGTCACCACCCTCGAGATGTTCAAGAAGTTATGGATATGATTGTGCAAGGAAACGAGTACCGGACAGTGTCTCCAACTGCGGCAAATGCCACATCCTCCCGGTCGCACGCGGTACTTCAAATCAATGTTGCACAAAAAGATCGAAACGCGGATGTCAACGAACCACACACCATGGCGACGTTGAGTATCATTGATTTGGCAGGTAGTGAGCGTGCTAGTGCGACGAAAAATCGTGGAGAGAGACTTCTCGAAGGAGCAAATATCAACAAGTCTCTATTGGCACTTGGTGGTTGTATTAATGCGCTCTGCGATCCGCGAAAGAAAAATCATGTTCCGTATCGAAATTCCAAACTCACCCGACTATTGAAATTCTCATTAGGGGGAAATTGCAAAACAGTTATGATCGTTTGTGTCAGTCCTTCAAGCGCCCATTTCGATGAAACCCAAAACACGTTGCGCTACGCCAACAGAGCCAAAAATATCCAGACCAAGGTCACACGAAATATCTACAACGTTAATAGGCACGTGAAAGACTTCTTGGTCAAGATTGACGAGCAGAGAGCATTGATCAACGAGCTTCAAGCTCAGCAGAAGGACGGCGAGGCTGCAGCGTATGTCAAATTCAAGAAACAGAGCGAAAAGCGGGATGGAATCGTTCGTGAGGGCGTCATAAGAATCCGCGCCTCATTCGATAACGCTTCCCAAGAAAGAAAAGAAAAGATCAATGATATGAAGAAACTCCGTCAACTCCAACGCCGAATATCGGTGTTATCTTCTTGGGTTGCGGCTTTTGATGCTATCTGCGACTCACGCGAAGATGAGGAAATGGCTCCAAGTCTCATGGCAATGCGAAAAACTGCCCAGGGTATTCTTCTTGAACTTGAAAATAGCAGACAACATTACCACCAGCGACTCGACAAGTGCAACTGGGAGCGAGCAATTGATTCGGCGCTTCAAAACAGTATCAAGCAACTCACAAAAGTGGATGGATCTGAAGGGGCTGATGCTGCAAACTTGACTAGAGAAGCTGAACTCCTCAAGTCGAATGCAGGAGCGCAGGCTTTACGGGAAGTATTGGAGCAAGAGAAGGTTGGTGATGCGGACGTTATGCAAGTGCTGCTTTCTGCACAATTCGACATGATTTCTTCTCTTCATGATATAATGAGTATGACTGAGGAGGATGCGATCAAGCATGCCAAGGCAATCCTAGGGCGTTTGCTACAAACCTGCTCTACCTCTGTAGCCGAAATCGTCAAACCCGATGGATCTTTAAATGTGACTGAAAAGTTCCCACCAACAAAGCGCGGCACGCCGAAGCGCAAGAAGCAGGCCAATCTTCTAGATACGCAGGCCCAACCAATTCCAATAATGCCATCACTTGCGGCAGCCGCTCCTCAAGTCTTTGCATCTCCAATGAAGTCTTCCCCCAAACGAAGAAAGGCCGCATTGGGAAAGAAAGGCGTTGCGTTCACCCCTAAGAAGAAGTCACCATCAAAGCAACGAAGTGTCAGGTGGCGGGATGACACAGATATGGGTGCTCTGGCAGAATTTGAGAAAACACCACAGAAGCCCGTCTCACCAGAAGTATCATCGGCCGAAAAGAGCATTCCCGTACCAGCTCTGCCCTCGTATCTAGTCGCGGATGTTTCAAATGACTCTCTCGACTCATCTCCTATTCCCACTGCACCGCAGTCATCAATTGACATTAAACCCAAGGCAAATCGATTTCAGGCTGGATTCCTGTCCAAAAAGACAGATGGGTCACCTCCGCCTCCACCAAAGATGACACGGCTTTCCTCTTCCGATACAGAAACGTCGCCGTTGCGCACAATTGATGGAGGATATGCTGCGAACCGATCTCCACTGCACTTTGTTCATACGATGGGAAACAGTTCGACAGGTACGGATGGCGGGAACAACTCCTCTTCAGAAGGCGAAAATAGCTTTCAGATGGATCGATCCGAGAGCGCAAAGATAGGAAGAGCACTGAAGAGAGCCGGATCTGTTTCTCGCACGTCGAATGACACAATCAGCCGAGCTCATCGTCGAAGAAGTCCTACTGCGGCCACTATGGCAGGATCACCCCCAAACGAAAACATGTTTACTGCTAGTCATGCTCGAAGAATGGTGAAGAGTGATAAGGAAGGTCCCTTTCATTCTAACATTTTGAGTCCTCGAACACAACCTGTGGTCAAGAACAATCGTCGCACCACCATAGCTGAGCCTCGTGCTATCAGTGGCAATATTCCACTTGCAGCTGTTCGAGTCCCGAGTGGTACCCAAAAGCCCAGGTAGAGTGTTGCCGGCGTTATGGGCAAAGGCGGATGGCGTTAATAAAGTCGTATTAATATCGAAATTGTGGGATTAGGTGGTTTCAGTCTTGAAATATGGTTTTTATTTTACATTGCATAGGCACGGCTACATTATGATAATGATTCTACTTTTCTGTAGATTTTTCTGGCTTGCAGATTCGCCTTACTGTAGGAAAGGTAGTACGGCGTCCAGAGTGTGGCGTTAGCAAATGAGGATTGTTGCATAGCCAGGCTTTTGGGGAGACTTGGTTGTATTTTAGTCTCTTTTTGTGAATTTAAAATTCTAGCGACTTGTCTTGTAATATCATTGTGACGTGATTTTCTGTGCCTTCGTCGACGTCTTTGACTTTGCGAGCTGGAAGCTTACCAAGGCGCGAAGCAAGTCTTGGGAATGGCACTGTAAGATTACTTTATTAAGCGCTATGTATCAGTAGCTGTAATTTCACCTTCAGTCTAATTTCTTCCAGAAATGGTGAGATTGCTTTGTCAACCCCATTCCATGAATGTGAGTTCAGCTTTTGTAAAATATACAATTATCGCTCCGAATCAGCGCTCTGCAAATGGATCCTATTCCATGGAATTCCAGCGATTCCATTCTATATGGAATAATCCCAAAGCACTTTTAAAAAGGAATGGAATATTCCATTAAAAGCCGTCTGGAATTCCATGGAATAAAATTATAGGGGCTATTCTGACTAATCAGATATAGTACTATTTGAGAGGAATGAACGTTAATTAAGTATACGGTAATTGACTAAACTACCCCCTAATTAATTATAAATCACTAAAACACCCCTTAGATAATTGTCTACTGACTAAACCATCCTATAAATTATAACCCACTTTTTAAGGGGTGGTCTAGTCGCTTCAGTAGCAGATATCGCAAATAAGGGGTGTTTTTGTCTACAAATACTAAGTATATTAAAGTTATGAGATTTTATTTCTTTATTAGTTATTAAATAGGAATACACTAGGAAATCAATGAATAAAGTAAATTCATCTACTAGTTATTACTTCCTACTTCGTAGTCTACTTTAGGTCGATTTTAGTAGAGGTTAAGTCTAGTACTCCTTATCTCTATGTTTACGCTTATTATTATTAGTTGTTGTTCCTTGTTCCTAAGTAATATCCTTAATTCCTTTAACTTATTGTTCTAAGTAATATCCTCGAGTCCTTGTTGTAACGAATACTCAAACTGGCTAACTAAACTTGGCTGGGTGTTCGCTGGTTGGTATGCTATGATAAGAAGAAGACTATCGGGTTGTTCACTTGGAAGTGAACTCGTTACTTGTATCAAAGATGTCAAACAAATATGA